TGTTTATTTAATTATGCCATTTAAAGGGGCATTTACTTCTTATCTTAGTAAATAAATAACTAATTAAGCATTAATTATAATTTTTTTATTTAATTTTAATTTTATAAAGTTGTGAATTTTTAAAAAAAATTTTTTCTCAGTTGAAAGTAAAATCTGTAACTGAGCTTCACATCAAACTAAATACACTGTTAAATAAGAAATAACGTTTACAATGGAAAAGATTTATTGTTGTGGTTTATAGGTTCAGCCTCTAATGGTCCGGGCGGTTTATTAGGAGAACAATCTTTTCTACGCTAATTGTACATCAATTTCATTCGTTTAATAATTTTCCATTTCTCACATTATTTCATACTTCTTAAAAAAACACTCAAAGCAGTATAAAAAACGCCAATTCGACTCTCCCAAGGAAAACTATAGTAACTCATAAAAAATAATTATTTGAGTAAGGATGTTAGAAATTAGTCTTAGTCCTATGTGGGAACACACTGYATTAAATAATTTAGTATCTGCATTTTTCAATATTTTTGTTGTTATTAGAGTCTTATTAACGTACCAGTTTTAGCTGCCTCTGATGAAAGGTCTTCTTCAAAAATAAAAATTGTCAAAAATTACTTAAGAACAATGTTTCAAAACTAATTTCTAATTAAAAATTTCATTAATCAATTAGAACAAAGAAGGTGCAATTGACCATTTTTAAGCAAAAGAAGTCTTAAAACAAATACTTTTATAAAAATGCAATTTTAAGTAAGATTAACATGCATTTCTCCTATATGGAGCAATGCTTGATTAGCAAACCTTAACATCAAAAAATCATATCTTGAAAACTACTCGGTATATTATTTTAAAAATTTGGATTTATACTAATAAAAAGATGCTCTACACGATGGTAATGAAGAAAAAAAATTATTCGTAGGGTTTTTCTTAGATTACTTCGAACTTCTTCGAACACTGTTCGAAGAAAAGTTCGCCAATATTCAATTTCAAATTTCATATCATTCTAAAGGGCAAGTCTATCCCTTTAGAATGGTCTTTATTTGAAGGAAATCGGCCTAATAGTTATTGAGTAGTGATTTTTTAAAGTTAAAGTATTTTAAATTCATTTAAATTAGAAAAAAAAATTGTTTAAAGTGTAGACTTTTTAAAAAAAWWWTTGTGCATTTGATTTGTCTCACTGARACGAACAAAATGATATACAATTTGTTAAATTGTCACGACATGACTTTTTTTGTCGCCCTGTGTTATCATTGTTGTCAACCCCCAATAAAAACTTCCAAATGCTATARTCTAAGTAATTAAAAACAATTATTTTACAGGTGTTTTAAGCGAGAATTTACCGAAGCCGTGGCCTTGAGAATGTGGGAGGCCTGTTGGGCAAACTACTTGACGGACTACTTCCACCTGTTTTTGTGTCTTGCTATMATCTGTGTTTATGCCGACGATGTCATTGCTCAAGATTTAAGAGCTGATGAAATGTTGCTGCATTTTAGTTCGCTAGGTAATAACACACTGTGTATTATTTTTATTTATTACATTTCAACTAAAAATAATATTTTAGCCATGTATATGGACGGGCAAGTAATCGCACGTAAAGCTAGAGGTTTGCTTCATCAGTTTAGGCAATTGAGAGAAATTCCCTGCACTTTGTCGGGACTTTGTACAAGATGTGGCCCTGGAATTTGGGACAGTTCCCACAGTCCCAGGATTTACTGTACAGGACATGACCTTCCAGGACACTGTAATAATTGCATCAACTAAACTTTGACTTTTTTGTTGTTGATTAGGAGGCCCTTCAAAATGTCTCAAATTGATGCTTTTGCTGAATAAAAGAAACAATTTGAGACTCAATATGGAATAATGCGGTGTCTAAAGTTATATGTTTCTCTCTGTGACAAGAATATATAATTTTATAAAAAAATGTACATACTGTTCACATTTTTATTTAAATTTGATTGATAATCATATCAAAACTATTATGACACGGTTGTGTACAACTGTATAATAATTAAATTGTTATTATAGATTTGCAAAACTGTATTTATTATTAGAAATAAATGCTTGGCAAGTGTTTTTAATTTAATTTATT